ATGAATTGAAACAAAACACAGTATAAACTGAGGAGTGACTCCCGTGAGTTTCATGTATTTTCTTCACTCCGCTGGTAAACTAAATGTTTTTAAAGCTCGGTTGGATGCTACTCAATCGGAAGCTATTGGTAGCTGTTTATGTGGATAATTATGTAAATGATGCTGTATGATGTCCTTTTGTTGTTCTATATATGTTTTTATGTTTCATGTGGAACTACTTGAGCAGGTCTCCCTTGAAAAAGAGATCAATGATCTCAATGGGATTTATCTGTATAAATAAAGGTTTGAAATGAAATGAAACTGCTCTCATGTCAAGAACAGTCTATGGGTGCGTCTCACTTCGGTTATTTTTCATTTCCTCGCTCCTCGGTCTCTGTATCACCGGAAGTTGATTTGTCTGCGTCATCTTGAGTAGCGTCCCAGTGGCCTTATTTCTGCCGGAGGAGCGATAATGGAGGAACCACCAGACCATCCTCCGATGAAATCCTCAGATACTCGCCCCGCCCCCTTACTGTGTATCGCTCACTGATTGGACGATGCAGTGCATGCACTGATCTGATGCTTCTTGACATGAGAGCAGTTTCCCAGCGGAGTGAAGAAAACACATGAACCTCACGGGAGTCACTCCTCAGTCTATACCGTGTTTTGTTTCAATTCATGTATAATTTTGTTACAAATATGTGATATATCTGAACAACAAAGTGGTCAAAAATCATTTTATTCATTTTTTGGAAACATTTTCATGATCGCTTTTTTCGTTTTACATTTTCATTTATTGTCATTTCCATTCAGTCAGTCATTAAGTGCTATTAAAATGTTAATGTGCTACATATCCACACAAACAAACAAAGTGTGCAATCCAATGAATGTTAATCTAACTGGGTTTTGAAACTCATTTCCCTGCTTCTCGTGGTTTCCTTGCGTCTCCATGCTTCCCTAGTGGGAGGGACTAAACGCAGGGAAACGACGCAAGTGAGTAGGATTGAGTAGAATGTCATTTAACCGAAGTGAGATGCAGCCTGTGGTCAAGAAGCATCAGATCAGTGCATGCGCTGCATCGTCCAATCAGTGAGTGATACACAGTAAGGGGGTGGAGCGAGTGGCTGAGGATTTCACCGGAGGATGGTCTGGTGGTTCCTCGATTATCGCTCCTCGCTCCTCCGGCACAAATAATAACTGGGACGCTACTCAAGATGGGGCAGACAAATCAACTTCCAGTGATACCGAGGACCGAGGAGCGAGGAAATGAAAAATAACCAAAGTGAGACGCAGCCCTTGAAGGCTTCTCAATTCTCTAATTTCCCCTCCTCGACTCCTATCCTCGTGTCTTAGTCCCGCCCATAGGAGATGCGAGCGGAGGACTGAGGAGGGGAACCGAGGAGAGAGGAGGGGAAGCAGCAGGCGGTTAGAGAAATGAGAACTCCTCTCCTCTGAGCGGTCATTTCAAAGAGACGTCCATTAATGATGACAGGAGGCACAGCAGCCCTCTGTCTGATGGACAGATGTGTTCATGATGACTTATATATTGACTTTGATTCATTGACTGTGCGGTATAATGAGACAATAACAGGCTACAGATGCGGACACAAACATACACATATATATTTATACAATTTCAGAATCAAACAAGTATGAGAGCACTCTCATAATAATGTAACACAATCAGAGACTATATAAACCATATAAACCCACCATTTAGAGAAATTAGATGTCCTTCAACATGGCGCGCTGAAATCCATTTCCGGGTCACTACCGGAGGACCGAGGAGTCGAGGAGGGGAAATTGGATAATTGAGAAGCCTTCCTTGAGTACCTGCCTGTCTCCTGGAATCTCCTCCATGCTCTTGAGACTGTGCTGGGAGAGACACAGCAAACCTTCTGGCAATGGCACGTATTGATGTTCCATCCTGGAGGAGTTGACTGCCTGGTCAACCTTTGTATGGTCCAGGTATCGCCTCATGCTAGCAGCAGTGACACTGACCCTAGCCAAATGCAAAACTAATGAAAAACTGTCAGAAATAATTAGGAGGGAACAAATGTCAGTGGCCTCCACCTGGAAAAGCATTCCTGTTTTGGGGGTTGTCTTATTGTTGCCCCTCTTGTGCACCTGTTGTTAATTTCATTAACACCAAAGCAGCTGAAACTGATTAACAACACCCTCTGCTACTTAAGACTTGATTTTACACTAGATTAAAAAGTATTCATTACATTTTTTTGAGCAGTCTAGAAAACAGACTGTTTTCTCCTCTGACCCGAATCAGGGCAGATAATAACAACTCTACTCCATTCAGGCGTAGAAGATCAATGAACAGCTACCACAAACACCTTGCATGTGCCCTGCAACAGGTTTATACTGTTCACTGATGCAGTATTAATTTACGCCAGAAATACATTTTATAAAGGTATGTAACCCTCTCCTGTCTCAACATGACAGGAGAGCACAGAGCCAGCTCCATGCTGAAAATGCTCTGCCAGTGAGGTGTGGAAGAACTCACAGTCCTGAGCGTTAGAGTGGTGCAGTGGTGACGGGTGCTCAGTGGCGACTGGTCATTAGGGGCAGGTGGGGCACAGCCCCACCTAGTGTCAGCAGAAAGTATTACAAATAATGATTACAACAAAATGCAAAAAAAAAATGAAAAAATATATAAAATATATTTTAAGATCATGTTTAATCATCTGATTCGTCTGTACATTGCTGTTTTAGTCTGTGTTCTTCTAATTAGTGTCTACAGTGTGTGCCTATTGAGCTGTTTAGAGCCATGTGGGACAAAACCCGATCCTGCCCCTCCCTCTCACTGTCTAAGTGAACGGTGACTGTAAAAACTACACTGCGCATGCTCAGATTATTTTCCTATTTAATGTGTGTGGCAAAAAAATAATGACCATAGGGGCATAGAGCTGCCATCCCCACCATACGTCATCTCACATCATTCAGAGCTGATTGGCTGTAAGTACGTGTGCCGCGAAAAGTGTGGTGTGTGAAGAGGAGACGAGAGAGCTGCAGTGACGCGTCCTAAAACCCGGAAGTAAGCTGCGCATGGCTTCCCTTCACAAAAAAGCAATGAGATTTCTCCATAGGATTTTAGAAAATAGCTCCAAATAAGATCTGTGGGAAACAAACCTGTTAGATAAATGCACGTTTTGTTCAGCCGGATAATATCCACATGTCTACCCTACTTTTATAATTTTCGAATCATAAATCTATTGATTAGATCAGATTTATGATAGACTTTTGAAACTACAAGAACATAAGGAGGACTTTTACAAAAAAGTAATAGAGATTTTTGTCCAGAAGGATAGGCAAATGGACTTCATCTTCAAGTCAAGGTAAGACTGCAATTTGATTGAAAATGGGATCTTACTAAGAGAGAACAATTCAATATTTAAATGATACAATTACATTTTTTGGGTATCCTTTTGTTGAACTGTCTGTTTAAAATTAATTGAAGCATCAGACAAAAAAAAGCTTTTGAAAATAATATTATATTTTGATTTAGGTCAAAATATAATATTTGTAAACCTGAAGAGTCAGTGCCAGTGCCTCACCAGCCATGAACCTCACTGCAGAAGCTTAGCTTATAGACATCTAAGTTTTTTGTGCCCCACCACTTTTGTACATATAAAAACGCCACTGCGGGTGCTGTAGGCCGACCCGGAGGTAAGCTAGCAGGGGCTCCCTCCATTAAAAGAGAGAGGACTTTCCCATTGGATTTCAGAATATAAAATAAGATTGTTGGCATATACACATTTTGTTCAGCAGGATAATCTCTACATATTAACACCACTTTATGATTTTAAGGCATAAATGAAATCTCCAGAAGTAATATTATTAAGATATTTATTATTATGTTTACTTCCATTATTTAACTGACTTTTTAATCCAAAGCAATTTACATACAGTCAAAGCCTATGGGAGCATTGTGGGGTTGAGTGTCTTGCCCATGTTGTTAGGAAGTGGGATCGGGCTGCTGACCCCCTGATTTGCAGATCAGCACCAGAGCCATAGCCACTGCCAATCTAAAGACGGCTAATGTTGCCACGTGAGGATGTTCAGACACTTTTGATTTGATGACCCAAAGAAGCTTCTGACACTCACCAGTGGGGTATTTACTGACATATTGTATGTCATATAACAGAACAGGAAAAGCTTGTGTTAACCACAGCCCTTATTTCAGGCTGAAAACCAAAAACACACTCAGAAAACCATTGACTTTGATACGAGAAGACACGGTAGAATGCTGACTCATGTCCAGGTTTCAGGACTCCTGCACACAGTTCAACATGAATATTTGTGATCAGAATCCACATACAGGGCAGTATCTTTGGCCACGTGGTGTGATTGTACGGCTAGAAACCTGTGACTAAGTTGAGTCCACCTTTTCATCTTGAACTGGTATTTGTGTGAATCATGAGTGCAGTTCTTCCCTGCTGCCTCTATCAGCTCTGTGCTCTGCTATCTCAGCGATTGTGATACGGGACAAACAGTTTGCATGTCTCTTCGCCGTCAGAGGCCTGATTGGGCAACATAAAAACATGTAAACATGTTCATGTACGCAGGCTACAATTGGGCATACGTTTACATGACTGAACTTTCCTCCATCCTTAAGTGGTTAAAGCAAAACTATAACGTTCAGGCAGAGATGTGGTGTTAGTGAAATACAAGCTGCTCTGTGCCGCAGCTTCAGAGAACATCACATGTTACGGCTGTTGCTAGCAGGATTTCTGATATGGCACTGATAAAGGTGAGTATCTCACTGTGTCACTGTCAGTCAGTGGCTGAGGGTAGAAAGAGGCGGTGAGGAGATAAAAGCAGGAAGTGTGTGTGGAGGGAATGAGCAGAGACGGCAGTGCAGCTCAAGTGCTTTCAGAGTTAAACAGGAGAGGAAGAGGAGGCTGGCCTGGAGCTGTTAGACAGACACTAACCCCAGGACTACCCCCCCCCCCCCCCCCCCAAGTGGACATGTCTGTGTGTAGGACAGAGTGGCTCGATCTGTCTGTCTGATGTGTTTCAATATGAATGTCTCCTTGCTGATGCTGCTGCCCGGCTTCCAGCTGCTCCTCATGTTCGGTGTGGGCGCAGAGAAACAGGAAGTGGCGGGCTCACCTGAGGACCCCAGCACCCGCCTCCGAGGCCTGTGGAGGCTGCACATGAGGGACACCCTGCTGAAAGGGAAAGGTAAGAGTCACCTGAGAAACTCTTTAGCTTTAGTTTAGGAGGAAAATCATCATTCAACAGAAGTTACCTTGATGTGCTAAAAGGCGATTACCCGTGTGAGCTGGAAGATCTTAAGTAAAAGTAGAAGTACCACAATGTAGTAATACTCTGTTACAAGTAAAAGTCCTGCATTCAAAAGGATACTCAAATAAAAGTGCAAAAGTATTGGCATGGAAGTATACTTAAAGTACCAAAAGTAAAAGTACTCATTCTTCAAATTGGTCCATTTCACAATCGTACTTATCTTATTTAAGTGTTGATCATATTGGTTATTATTAATCTATATCTGCAAAGTAACTTAAGGTACTACATATATTTAGTGAAGTAAAAGTACAATATTTAACTCTGAATTCCAGTGGGGTAGAAGTACGTAAAATGTACATCAAGTAAATGATGTCGTAAATGTACTCAACACCACTGACACATCAGCACTGTGACAGGTTCTTTGATATAACTGTGACAAAAGTCTGACGCAGACATTTTTGTGTTGATAACATTTTGACACATTTTGCTTCATTCAACTGATTCTTTATAAGAATGCATTCTAGGAATTAGATGAAGCTATTATGTGTAGGGTTCAGTCTGGGGTTTGGTTTCATTAGCAAATGCCAGCGAATGTCCCTCTATCAGCAACACTGTACAAACTGAAGAAATGTCACTAAAAGAAGATTGTAAATATGAAGATACTCACTTGATCTGTCTAACTCAGGCTATTCAATGCTAATGTTAGCCTGAGCTGGATTCAGAACGAGAACCAGAACTCTCCCAGCCAGGATGTTCCAGATTCTAGAATGATGACAATAACAGAACGTGAGTGTTGTATTGCTGTACTCGAAGCAGCTGCAGCACTTTGTGTGCAGTTGACTGGAACTGAAGGGAATTCCCTCAAATGTTTTGCAACCACACTGCAAGATGTCATTATTGCATAATAACAAATACAGACTCTTTGTCAAAAGAGAACCAATCCTCCTGGAAGAAACTATACAGTATGTGATTTAACCAATCACCTGTACACAGGTTCTGGCCCTCATCCAATGAGAGGAGGGGTCAAACAGCAGCTGCTCTACTGCCGTGTTGGGATTGGCTACCATCTCCAGATTCTGCCCAGTGGCTCTGTTGGAGGGGTCCACAAACCCACCGAGCATTGTGAGTTAACCACTGCCATGTGTCAAAGTGACAACTGTTAAAAGCTGCTTTCTATATAATGTTGGCAGACTGCTTGTTTATACATTCATATTTGAGACTGAGTGCTTATGTGAAGACTATCTGTGATGCATCCATCCCTCATTTCTCCGTCTCCTCAAGGTTGGCTGAAGGTGTTTGCGATGAAACATGGAGTGGTGGGGGTCAGAGGCGTGAAGAGCGGCCTGTACCTCTGCTTGAGTGCAGAGGGGCTGCCGTATGGAGCGGTATGTAGCCCACCGCACACTCACACATCTCACATTACAATGTGATGCAGAACCAAGTCTGTTACATAGGAATCCATTTAGACTTTCCCCACTCTAATATATGACAGGGCTGCATACAATCAGATATATGAAATGTATCTTTGACTTCTCTTTTGCAGGAGAAGTTTTCTGACGAGTGCCTGTTAAAGGAGAACCTGGAGGAGAATCACTACAACACCTACTCCTCCCTCTCTCACCCTGACATCTACCTGGCTCTTTCCCATAAAGGAGCGCTCCGGAGGGGCAACAGTGTGGGCCGCCACCAGTCCTGCACCCACTTTCTACCCCGGAGAACAGGCTGATCAGGGCCCAGTTTCCTCTCAGTTGGGGGCAAATTAGGAATATGGTTGCCAACATTGTATCTTCAGCTGGTGAAAAAAGCAACAGTGTAGAAATTCCACATGGCAGCTGGGCTTAAGACTGCAACATGCAAAAAGTAAAACTAGTTCCACATCCAAGAGACACAATGAGTGTGATACATATTTCCTGTAGGAACGAACAGTGAACTGAGACCCTCACACTGCAACCTCTCTGCCCGCCGAGACCTGACCGTCTGAGCAGCACCTTCACTGCTGCTGGCACTGAACAGGAGTCAGGCGATTGAATGCACAGGATGAGTCTTCTGAAGCGCAAGAGTGCAGAACTGACACCTTTTAAAGGAGCGTGACTGCCTCACTCCTTTACTGCTGATCAGTATTTCTGTATGAGGAGGATCTATGACTGTGTGTGATGTGGACAGGGAACTCTGTGAAGCTGTCCACTAAATGTGCTGAGTTGGGTTGCAAATGAGTGAAGCATTGTTCGCACAAAATCATTTGTAGCAATAATAAGAATGGTATTGATGGATGGTAAAGCGACAGTGGCAGCTTTTATACAGCATCGGTTTCGACCATAGTAAATCTGCACATTATTTATCATGAACATTTTGTTTCTGAAGTATTTGTTTATTTATTTGTGTTTTATAATGCATTGCAGACAGTGATGATAAATGAAATATATATATTTGTATAATCATATTGTGTTTAAGTAGTCTGTATCAGATTGTATTGGATGATTGGAAATAAAAAAACTTCAGTCATTCTGAAGAAGCTCGCTAAGTGTATATATATAAAGTATGAGTCAAAAGTGTGGACACACCTTCTCATTCAATGGTTTTTGTTTATTTAAATGTTTATCTACTTTGTAGATTAATACTGAAGACCTCAAAACTATGAAAGAACCCATAGGAAATTATCTAGTTAACAAAAAAGTGTTAAAAAATCCAGAATATGATTTTCATTTTAGATTCTTCAAAGTAGCCCCCTTTTGCCTGCGTGAATCAGGCCTTCATGGTCCAGTCGCTGCAAAGGTCCACTACTGAGGATGAACAACAAGAAGAAGATAATTGTTTGGGCCCAGAAACACAAGGATTGGACATTAGACAGTGGAAATCTGTACTTTGGTCTGATGAGTCCACATTTGAGATTTTTGGTTCTAACCGCCGTGTCTTTGTGAGACGCAGAGAAGGTGAGCGGATGGGTTCTGCATGTGTGGTTCCACCGTGAAGCATGGAGGAGGAGGTGTGATGGTGTGGGGGGATTTCCTGGTGACACTGTTGGTGATGTATTCAGAATTCAAGGCACACTTAACCAGCATGGCTAACACAACATTCTGCAGCACCAGCAAGGTTTTAAGCTCTGATATTTCTGTCGACCCTGCAATGGAGGCAAATGGAATTGCTCACAGAATTTAAAAACTCTACAGAAAGTTGTTACAGAAACAATCCACAAACAGTTTGTGTAGGAACTACGTTCTATTCAAGAAATAGTCCCTCTGAAAATGGAAGTTTACACTGCTTTAAATCAACTCGGCTAAACTTGTATTGAATAATAATAATAATAACAACAATAATGATAACAATAATAATACTTTTTATTTATTTCTGGATTTAACAGAGTTACAATTCATAAAAACATAATTAAAACAACACACTTAAAATATATAAAACACAACATTAATTACAGATTAAAAGCAGTTCTGAAGAGGTGAGTTTTGATTTGTGATTTGAACATGGTGAGATCGGGGAGTGAGCTCCAGAGGGAGGGGGCAGCGACGGAGAAGGCTCTGTCCCCCCAGGTTCGGTGCTTGGTCCTATGAGGAAACGTCTGGAGGCTTTATAAATTCATATAGCAGCTAATTTTAATTGTCACATAAAATCAGAAGTACATGTGGGGCTGGGTAAACAGATATGAACTTATAGTGCATGTGTATGGCAGCTGGACAGTGAAGCCACTGGAGGTTGTCTGCCCAGCAGCCCCCCCCCCTCCTCCACCTGCCTCCTCACACACTCCCAGGACACTTTAATGACACGTGAGCATGTCACCCTACCCCCAGAGTGGGAGGTGTAGGGTCACCTGATCCCCAGCAGCACTCACCTGCTCAGGTGTCTCTTTCTATCAAAGCATAGGCACAGCAGGAAGGCAGCCATTAGGACGGAGAGAGGAGGAAGAAGGCAGGAAAACGGGGGGATAAAGGGAGTTGAGGGGACATGGTCTTAGACAAAGCGCCGCTGAGTGTGCACAATGGCACCATGACGAAAGGCTTTGAGGAGATCAGTACGTTGGACCTACCCAGGAAGAGAACTCAACCAAAGTTTTGTTGAGGCTTCCTGTTTCTTCTTCTTCATCGTGTCTTCTTCTCTCTCTTTCATGTTCTCTCTCTTTCCTCCATCAATGTCTCATGCATTCATCCCTCTATTCTCATCTCTTTCCTGCAGATCCAGCTGCCAACGCCGCTGATGACACATCGACTCCCCCAACAGTAAGTGGACAAATATCGCCTGTGAAACGAGTGCTGGAACATGAACTGATATACATAAAGGTCTTTGTGTAATGTTATCAAGAATGTATTGAATATTTTGGGAAGTTGGTTCAACCAAACTAGACATTCTGATGTGAGCTAGTATTATGACATTTCATTGACTGAATCATTCAATCATTTATCAAGACATTAGTCAGAGTAATCAATGTGTCAGGGTGAATATGTGAAGCACAGTGAGGCGAGTGAGACGTGTTGTCAGGCCTAGGAGGTTGAGGGAAGGAGATGGTAACTGTGTGTGTGTGTGTGTGTGTGTGTGTGTGTGTGTGTGTGTGTGTGTGTGTGTGTGTGTGGTGTGTGAGTGCGTGCGTGCGTGCGTGCGTGCGTGCGTGCGTGCGTGCGTGCGTGCGTGCGTGCGTGCGTGCGTGCGTGCGTGCGTGCGTGCGTGCGTGCGTGCGTGCGTGCGTGCGTGCGTGCGTGCGTGCGTGCGTGCGTGCGTGCGTGCGTGCGTGCGTGCGTGCGTGTGTGTGTGTGTGTGTGTGTGTGTGTGTGTGTGTGAAAACCCTTAAATAGGTGAGGGTCTGCCATATGTCACACAGATTCTTAACTTCTATATTTTTTTCCCAAAATGCACAACAAACGTCAGAGTCCTTATTTTAAACTGCAGCAAATATTTAGCATTGTACGAGGGAACCTGCAAGTTTAGCTGGATTACTGTAACGTCTGCATCCACCTTCCAATGCACTCGATTCAAGAAGCAGAGCACAGCACATCTCCAACATCTCCGACATCCCCAACATCTCCGACATCCCCAACATCTCCAACATCCCCAACATCCCCAACATCAGCAACATCCCCAACATCAGCAACATCCCCAACATCAGCAACATCCCCAACATCAGCAACATCAGCAACATCCCCAACATCAGCAACATCCCCAACATCAGCAACATCCGCAACATCTCCAACATCCCCAACATCCCCAACATCAGCAACATCCCAAACATCCCCAACATCTCCAACATCTCCGATATCCCCAACATCCCCAACATCCCAAACATCTCCAACATCTCCAACATCTCCGACATCCCCAACATCAGCAACATCCCAAACATCCCCAACATCTCCAACATCTCCGACATCCCCAACATCCCCAACATCCCAAACATCTCCAACATCTCCAACATCTCCGACATCCCCAACATCCCCAACATCCCAAACATCTCCAACATCTCCAACATCTCCGACATCCCCAACATCCCCAACATCCCAAACATCCCCAACATCTCCAACAACTCCGACATCCCCAAAATCCCCAACATCTCCAACATCCCCAACATCCCCAACATCCCCAACATCTCCAACATCTCCAACATCAGCAACATCCGCAACATCCCCAACATCCCCAACATCCCCAACATCTCCAACATCTCCAACATCAGCAACATCCCCAACATCCCCAACATCCCCAACATCTCCAACATCTCCAACATCTCCAACATCCCCAACATCCCCAACATCCCCAACATCTCCAACATCTCCAACATCTCCAACATCTCCAACATCCCCAACATCTCCAACATCCCCAACATCCACAACATCTCCAACATCCCCAACATCCCCAACATCTCCAACATCCCCAACATCTCCAACATCTCCAACATCCCCAACATCTCCAACATCCCAACATCCCCAACATCTCCAACATCCCCAACATCCCCAACATCTCCAACATCCCCAACATCCCCAACATCTCCAACATCCCCAACATCCCCAACATCTCCAACATCTCCAACATCTCCAACATCTCCAACATCTCCAACATCCCCAACATCTCCAACATCCCCAACATCCGCAACATCTCCAACATCCCCAACATCCCAACATCTCCAACATCCCCAACATCTCCAACATCCCCAACATCCCCAACATCTCCAACATCCCCAACATCTCCAACATCCCCAACATCTCCAACATCCCCAACATCCCCAACATCTCCAACATCCCCAACATCAGCAACATCCCCAACATCTCCAACATCCCCAACATCTCCAACATCCCCAACATCTCCAACATCCCCAACATCCCCAACATCTCCAACATCCCCAACATCAGCAACATCTCCAACATCAGCAACATCCCCAACATCTCCAACATCCCCAACATCAGCAACATCCGCAACATCCCCAACATCAGCAACATCCCAACATCAGCAACATCTCCAACATCCCCAACATCTCCAACATCTCCAACATCCCCAACATCTCCAACATCTCCAACATCCCCAACATCCCCAACATCTCCAACATCCCCAACATCTCCAACATCCCCAACATCTCCAACATCCCCAACATCCCCAACATCTCCAACATCCCCAACATCAGCAACATCCCCAACATCTCCAACATCCCCAACATCTCCAACATCAGCAACATCCCCAACATCTCCAACATCCCCAACATCAGCAACATCCGCAACATCCCCAACATCTCCAACATCTCCAACATCAGCAACATCCCCAACATCAGCAACATCCCCAACATCCCCAACATCTCCAACATCTCCAACATCCCCAACATCCCCGACATCCCCGACATCCCCGACATCCCCGACATCCCCGACATCTCCAACATCTCCAACATCTCCAACATCCCCAACATCCCCGACATCCCCGACATCCCCGACATCTCCAACATCTCCAACATCCCCAACATCTCCAACATCCCCAACATCAGCAACATCCGCAACATCAGCAACATCCCCAACATCAGCAACATCCGCAACATCTCCAACATCTCCAACATCCCCAACATCCCCAACATCTCCAACATCCCCAACATCAGCAACATCCGCAACATCCCCAACATCCCCAACATCCCCAACATCAGCAACATCCCCAACATCCCCAACATCCCCAACATCCCCGACATCTCCAACATCTCCAACATCAGCAACATCTCCAACATCCCCAACATCTCCAACATCCCCAACATCAGCAACATCCGCAACATCCCCAACATCAGCAACATCCGCAACATCCCCAACATCTCCAACATCTCCAACATCAGCAACATCCCCAACATCCCCAACATCAGCAACATCCGCAACATCAGCAACATCCGCAACATCAGCAACATCAGCAACATCCGCAACATCAGCAACATCCGCAACATCCCCAACATCCCCAACATCCGCAACATCCCCGACATCCCCGACATCCCCGACATCTCCAACATCCCCGACATCCCCAACATCCGCAACATCCCCGACATCCCCGACATCTCCAACATCCCCAACATCCCCAACATCTCCAACATCCCCAACATCCCCAACATCCCCAACATCCCCAACATCCCCAACATCCCCGACATCTCCGACATCCCCGACATCCCCGACATCTCCGACATCCCCGACATCCCCGACATCTCCAACATCCCCAACATCCCCAACATCCCCAACATCCCCAACATCCCCAACATCTCCAACATCCCCAACATCCCCGACATCCGCGACATCCCCGACATCCCCGACATCCCCGACATCTCCGACATCCCCGACATCCCCGACATCTCCAACATCCCCAACATCCCCAACATCCCCAACATCCCCAACATCCCCAACATCCCCAACATCCCCAACATCTCCAACATCCCCAACATCCCCAACATCCGCAACATCCCCGACATCCCCGACATCCCCGACATCCCCAACATCTCCAACATCCCCGACATCCCCAACATCCGCAACATCCCCGACATCCCCGACATCCCCAACATCTCCAACATCTCCAACATCTCCAACATCAGCAACATCCCCGACATCCCCGACATCCGCAACATCCGCAACATCCCCGACATCCCCGACGTCCCCAACGTCCCCAACGTCCCCAACATCAGCAACATCCGCAACATCCCCAACATCAGCAACATCCGCAACATCCCCAACATCAGCAACATCCCCAACATCTCCAACATCCCCAACATCCGCAACATCCCCAACATCCCCAACATCTCCAACATCAGCAACATCCCCAACATCTCCGACATCTCCGACATCTCCGACATCCGCGACATCCCCGACATCCCCGACATCCCCAACATCAGCAACATCAGCAACATCCGCAACATCCCCAACATCAGCAACATCCGCAACATCCCCAACATCAGCAACATCCCCAACATCCCCAACATCCCCAACATCTCCAACATCTCCAACATCCCCAACATCCCCAACATCCCCAAAATCCCCGACATCTCCGACATCTCCGACATCCCCGACATCTCCGACATCCCCGACATCTCCGACATCTCCGACATCCCCGACATCCCCGACATCCGCGACATCCCCGACATCTCCGACATCCCCGACATCCCCGACATCCCCGACATCCCCGACATCTCCGACATCCCCGACATCCCCGACATCCCCGACATCCCCGACATCCCCGACATCCCGACATCTTCGACATCCCCGACATCCCCGACATCTCCGACATCCCCGACATCCCCGACATCTCCGACATCCCCGACATCCCCGACATCCGCGACATCCCCGACATCCCCGACATCCCCGACATCTCCGACATCTCCGACATCTCCGACATCTCCGACATCCCCGACATCCCCGACATCCCCGACATCCCCGACATCTCCAACATCTCCAACATCCCCAACATCCCCAACATCCCCAACATCCCCAACATCTCCAACATCCCCCAACATCCCCAACATCTCCAACATCCCCAACATCTCCAACATCAGCAACATCCCCGACATCCCCGACATCCGCGACATCCGCGACATCCCCGACATCCCCAACGTCCCCAACGTCCCCAACATCAGCAACATCCGCAACATCCCCAACATCAGCAACATCCGCAACATCCCCAACATCAGCAACATCCCCAACATCTCCAACATCCCCAACATCCGCAACATCCCCAACATCCCCAACATCTCCAACATCAGCAACATCCCCGACATCTCCGACATCTCCGACATCTCCGACATCCGCGACATCCCCGACATCCCCGACATCCCCAACATCAGCAACATCAGCAACATCCGCAACATCCCCAACATCAGCAACATCCCCAACATCCCCAACATCCCCAACATCCCCAAAATCCCCAACATCTCCAACATCTCCAACATCCCCAACATCCCCAACATCCCCAAAATCCCCGACATCTCCGACATCTCCGACATCCCCGACATCCCCGACATCCCCGACATCTCCGACATCTCCGACATCCCCGACATCCCCGACATCCGCGACATCCCCGACATCTCCGACATCTCCGACATCTCCGACATCCGCGACATCCCCGACATCCCCGACATCCCCAACATCAGCAACATCTCCAACATCCCCAACATCCCCAACATCCCCAAAATCCCCAACATCTCCAACATCTCCAACATCCCCAACATCCCCAACATCCCCAAAATCCCCGACATCTCCGACATCTCCGACATCCCCGACATCTCCGACATCCCCGACATCTCCGACATCCCCGACATCCCCGACATCTCCGACATCCCCAACATCCCCAACATCCCCAACATCCCCAACATCTCCAACATCCCCAACATCCCCGACATCCGCGACATCCCCGACATCCCCGACATCCCCGACATCTCCGACATCCCCGACATCCCCGACATCTCCAACATCCCCAACATCCCCAACATCCCCAACATCCCCAACATCCCCAACATCCCCAACATCCCCAACATCTCCAACATCCCCAACATCCCCAACATCCGCAACATCCCCGACATCCCCGACATCCCCGACATCCCCAACATCTCCGACATCCCCGACATCCCCAACATCCGCAACATCCCCGACATCCCCGACATCCCCAACATCTCCAACATCTCCAACATCTCCAACATCAGCAACATCCCCGACATCCCCGACATCCGCAACATCCGCGACATCCCCGACATCCCCGACATCCCCAACGTCCCCAACGTCCCCAACATCAGCAACATCCGCAACATCCCCAACATCAGCAACATCCGCAACATCCCCAACATCAGCAACATCCCCAACATCTCCAACATCCCCAACATCCGCAACATCCCCAACATCCCCAACATCTCCAACATCAGCAACATCCCCGACATCAGCAACATCCCCGACATCTCCGACATCTCCGACATCTCCGACATCCGCGACATCCCCGACATCCCCGACATCCCCAACATCAGCAACATCAGCAACATCCGCAACATCCCCAACATCAGCAACATCCGCAACATCCCCAACATCAGCAACATCCCCAACATCCCCAAAATCCCCAACATCTCCAACATCTCCAACATCCCCAACATCCCCAACATCCCCAAAATCCCCGACATCTCCGACATCTCCGACATCCCCGACATCTCCGACATCCCCGACATCTCCGACATCTCCGACATCCCCGACATCCCCGACATCCGCGACATCCCCGACATCTCCGACATCCCCGACATCCCCGACATCCCCGACATCCCCGACATCCCCGACATCTCCGACATCCCCGACATCCCCGACATCCCCGACATCCCCGACATCCCCAACATCCGCAACATCCCCGACATCCCCGACATCCCCAACATCTCCAACATCTCCAACATCTCCAACATCAGCAACATCCCCGACATCCCCGACATCCGCAACATCCGCGACATCCCCGACATCCCCGACATCCCCAACGTCCCCAACGTCCCCAACATCAGCAACATCCGCAACATCCCCAACATCAGCAACATCCGCAACATCCCCAACATCAGCAACATCCCCAACATCTCCAACATCCCCAACATCCGCAACATCCCCAACATCCCCAACATCTCCAACATCAGCAACATCCCCGACATCTCCGACATCTCCGACATCTCCGACATCCGCGACATCCCCGACATCCCCGACATCCCCAACATCAGCAACATCAGCAACATCCGCAACATCCCCAACATCAGCAACATCCGCAACATCCCCAACATCAGCAACATCCCCAACATCCCCAAAATCCCCAACATCTCCAACATCTCCAACATCCCCAACATCCCCAACATCCCCAAAATCCCCGACATCTCCGACATCTCCGACATCCCCGACATCTCCGACATCCCCGACATCTCCGACATCTCCGACATCCCCGACATCCCCGACATCCGCGACATCCCCGACATCTCCGACATCCCCGACATCCCCGACATCCCCGACATCCCCGACATCCCCGACATCTCCGACATCCCCGACATCCCCGACATCCCCGACATCCCCGACATCCCCGACATCCCGACATCTTCGACATCCCCGACATCCCCGACATCTCCGACATCCCCGACATCCCCGACATCTCCGACATCCCCGACATCCCCGACATCCGCGACATCCCCGACATCCCCGACATCCCCGACATCTCCGACATCTCCGACATCTCCGACATCTCCGACATCCCCGACATCCCCGACATCCCCGACATCCCCGACATCTCCAACATCTCCAACATCCCCAACATCCCCAACATCCCCAACATCCCCAACATCTCCAACATCCCCAACATCCCCAACATCTCCAACATCCCCAACATCTCCAACATCAGCAACATCCCCGACATCCCCGACATCCGCGACATCCGCGACGTCCCCGACGTCCCCAACGTCCCCAACGTCCCCAACATCAGCAACATCCGCAACATCCCCAACATCAGCAACATCCGCAACATCCCCGACATCCGCGACATCCGCGACATCCCCGACGTCCCCGACGTCCCCAACGTCCCCAACGTCCCCAACATCAGCAACATCCGCAACATCCCCAACATCAGCAACATCCGCAACATCCCCAACATCAGCAACATCCCCAACATCTCCAACATCCCCAACATCCGCAACATCCCCAACATCCCCAACATCTCCAACATCAGCAACATCCCCGACATCCCCGACATCTCCGACATCTCCGACATCCGCGACATCCCCGACATCCCCGACATCCCCAACATCAGCAACATCAGCAACATCCGCAACATCCCCAACATC